GCTGCCACGTTATTGTCGGCACACCTTCTATCATCCCTTGGCGCCAATAGGTTGGGCACGTCGCACGGAAAGTATGGACGGACTCGCGTCCGCGTGCCTGGGCCGCCCCATGCTCCGGAACGCTGCTTTGACGGGGCGGAGCCTTCCGCAAAGCACAGCCACGGGGGCGCGAATCGGTGCCAGAAGTCCGCCCAGATATCAGCAGCGGCGAAGAGCACGCCCCGCGACGTTCTCGACGGCGCCGCCGCAAAGCCCGCGCTGCGCCCGATGGGCCCCGCGGCTTCTGGCATGGCGCGCGCCCTCCTGCTCGCCGGTGTTCCGCCCCGCCCCAAGCCTCCGCAGTCCCTCGTCGAGGGCATCGCTCTTGCATCTGCTACCTCTGCCGGTCGTCTTCCCCATCCCCGCCGCCCCCCCCCCCCCCCCTCGTCGAGGGCATCGTTCTTGCATCTGCTGCCTCTGCTGGTCGTCTCCCCCATCCCCGCCGCCCCCCCCCCCGGAAACTTCCATCACCTCCTTAAATAGATCGCCGAGGCAACAGGAATGGTGATTGGGAAGAAGTGAAGGTTATGCGGACAACAGTTATGTTGGTTCGCGGTGTTGAAGTCCGCAAAAATGGCGTTCTGGCACGATTCGAAATCGTCAAGACGCAGCAGTCAGGTTGATCCGTGGCGTTGAAATCCCGAGAACAATGTTTTGGCATGATTCAGGGTCTTCAAACGGTTGCCGTCCAACGAGGCATTTCCCTCAATGGAAATCAACCGTTGTATGGGGCCTATGAAGAGGTAGCTTGAAGGGAGGGTTACTGCCGACATCATTAATGACTCTTGGGTTGACACTGTTCCTCTTCCTCCTCCTCCTCCACCTCCTCCTCCTCCTGCTCCTCCTCCTCCTCTTCTTCCACCTCCTCCTCATCCTCATCATGATCATCAGCAGCAGCAGCAACAGAACAATCATCATCATCATCATCGTCAGCATCATCAGCAGCATCATCAGTATCATCATCAGCATCAGCATCAGCATCATTATCACCATTCCCATCATCATCATAATCAGCAGCAGCATGATCACAATCACCAGCCTCAGACCATCGTCATCATCATCAGCAGCCTCATCATCAGCGTCATGATCATCATCAGCATCATCATCAGCAGCAGCAGCATCTGCAGAATCATGAGAGTCATCAGCAACCACATCATAATCATCATCATCATCATCATCATCATCATCATCATCATCATCATCATCATCATCATCATCATCATCATCATCAGCATCATCAGCATCATCGTCACCATCATCGCCAGCAGCAGCATCCCCATCATCATCATCATCATCATCATCATCATCATCATCATCAGCAGCAGCAGCAGCAGCATCAGCAGCATCATCATCATCATCAACAGCATCATCAGCATCAGCAGCAACAGCAGCAGCATCGCCATCATAATCATCATCATCATCCACAAAAGCAGCATCGTCATCATCAGCATCAGCAGCAGCAGCATCGTCAGCCTCAGCATCAACAGCATCATCAACAGCATCATCATCATCATCATCATCATCATCATCATCATCATCATCTGCAGCATCATAATCATCAGCATCGTCATTACCATCATCATCATCATCATTATCATCATCATCATCATCATCATCATCATCATCAGCACTAGCATCATCATCATCATCATCATCATCATCATCATCATCATCATCATCACCATGATCATCATCATCAGCATCGTCATCAGCAGCACCATCATCATAATCATCAGTATCATAATCAGCATCAGCATCATCAGCGTGACCATAATCGGCAGCAGCAGCATCGTCATCATCATCATCATCATCATCATCATCATCATCATCAGCAGCAGCAGCAGCATCATCTTTATCAGAATCAACATCAACACCATTATCAGCAGCAGCATCATCAGCAGCATCAGCAGCATCAGCATCATCAGCAGCAGCACCGTCAGCATAAGCAGCATCATCATCAGCATCACTATCGGCATCAGCATCATCATCGTCGTCATCAACATCATCGTCATTGTCATCGTCATCATCATCATCAGCATCATCATCATCAGCAGCATCATCATCATCGTCATCGTCATTGTCATCATCATCATCATCATCATCATCATCATCAGCATCATCATCAACATCATCAACATCCTCGTTTTCCTCCGCCTCCACCTCCTCATCATCCCCCTCCTCCTCTTCATCCTCCTCCTCATCCTCCTCCTGCTCCTCCTCCTGCGCCTCCTCCTCGTCCTCCTCCTCCTCCTCCTCCTCCTCATCATCATCATCATCATCATCATCATCATCAGCAGCAGCAGCAGAGTCAGAATCATCATCATCATCATCCTCCTCCTCCTCCTGCTCCTCCTCCTCATGCTCTTCTTCCTCATCCTCCTCCTCCGCCTCTTCCTCCTCCTCCTCCTCCTCCTCCTTCTCCTGCCTCGCCTGCATCATCGTCATTATCATCATCATCATCATCAGCAGCAGCATCAACCATCAGCAGCATCATCACCAACGCCAAAACCACCATCGACATCATCAGCAGCACCATCATCATCATCATCATCATCATCATCATCATCATCATCATCCATCATCATCATCATCATCATCATCATCATCATCATCCATCATCATCATCATCAACAGCATCATCATCATCCTCATCCTAATCCTCATCCTCATCGTCATTATTATCATCAGCATCATCATATCCATCATCATCATTATCAGCAGCAGCATCATCAGCATCATAAGCATCTTCAGATTCATCAGCAGCATCAGCATAATCATCATCATCATCATCATCATCATCAGCATCACCATCATCATCAGCAGCAGCATCACCATCACCATCAACAGCACCAGCACCAGCATCATCATCATCAGCATCATCAGCATCATCATCATCATCATCATCATCATCATCATCATCAGCATCATCATCATCATCATCATCATCATCATCGAAAGAACGTGCTCTACCGCTGCTGGCGGAAAACCGGGGGGGGTCACTACTGGTTCGAACCCATCCCCCCCCCTCCCCTCCGGAAAACCGGGGGGGTCACTACCGGTTCGAACCCCTCCCCCCCCCAGTTCATCATGAGAAGGGGGGGGGTCACTACCGGTTCGACCCCCCCCCCCCCCTCGAAAACCGAGGGGGTGTACGGACAGTGGTGGGGACGGTGGTGGTGGGGACAGTGGTGAAGGGACAGCGGGACAGTGGTGGGGACAGTGGGACAGTGGGGGGACTGTAGTGGTGGGGACAGTGGTGAGGACAATGGTGGGAACAGTGGGGACAGTGGACAGTGGTGGGGACGGTGGTGGTGGGGACAGTGGTGTGGGGACAGTGGGAGGTGGAAACAGTGGGACAGTGGAGGAGGGTACTCCAGATTTCTTAATAAAGGGAGGGGGGTCTCATTTCGGGGGGGGTCTCTTCCAGGCTATCTTGGAGGGTCTGGGGGGGTCTGGGGACGATGTTTTGGAGGGTTCTCCCACGGGGGGGGTCTGAAATGGCTTGTCTTGGAGGGTCCAGACCCCCTCCCATTTATTACGACATCTGGAGTACAGTGGTGGTGGGGACAGTGGTGAAGGCGGTGGCGAGGACGGCGGTGGGACAATGGGACAGAGGTACAGTGGGAACAGTGGTGGGGACAGTGGGGACAGTGGTGGGAACAGTGGGACAGCTCAGTGGGACAGCGGAGGAGTCAGTGGGACAGTGGGGACAGTGGGGATAGTCGGGCAGTAGTTGGGGCCGTGGAGAAAGTGGGGAGAGTGGAACCATGGTGGGAACAGTGGTGGGGACAATGGGGACAAAGCGACAGTGGTGGGAGCACTGGTGGGGACAGCAGGGACGGTGGTGGAACCAGTGGGGACAGTGGCGGTGAGGACAGTGGTGCTGGGAACAACAGTGGGAGATGTGGCGCGGACGGTGGTAGGGACCGGGAGTCGTGTGCTGGCGGTGAGTGGGGGTGGGGAGGGGTTCGAACCGGTAGTTTTCCTCCCTCCGGTTTTCGGGGGGGGGGGGCGGGTTCGAACCGGTAGTGACCCCCCCCTGGTTTTCGAGGGGGAGGGGGGGGGGGAGGGGTTAGGGTTCAGCAGGGGGGGAGGGATTTTCGGAGGGGGGGGGGGACCCCCGGGTTCCGGAGGAAAAGGGCGGCAATTTTCCACAGTAAAGCGGCGGGATCACGCTCTCTCCTCTCTCTCTCTCTCTCTCTCTCTCTCTCTCTCTCATCATCATCATCATCATCTCATCATCACATCATACATCTCATCATCATCATCATCATCATCATCATACATCATCATCATCATCATCGTCCGTCGTCCGTAGTCGTCGTCGTCGTCGGCGTCATAATCATCATCATCATCATCATCATCATCTCATCATCATCATCTCATTATCACAGCATCACATCATCACAGCATCATCTCATCCATCATCATCATGATCATCAATCATCATCATCATCATCATCATTCCATCATCATCATCATCAACCTCATCATTATCGTCATCACTCATCCTCATCATCATCCTCACATCATCAGCATCATCATCATCACATCAGCATCATCATCACCATCACCATCACCATCACCATCACCATCATCAGCATCATCATCATCATCATCATCATCATCATCATCATCATCATCATCATCATCATCATCATCATCATCTGTTTGTCTCCTCCTCCTCCTCCCCCTCGTCCTCCTCCTCCTCCTCCTCGTCCTTCTCATCCTCCTCCTGCCCCTCCTCCTGCTCCTCCTCCTCCTCCTTCTCCTCCTCCTCCTCCTACTCCTCGTCCTCCTCCTCGTCCTCCTGCTCCTCCTCCTCCTCCTCCTCCTCCTCCTCGTCCTCCTCCTCCTCCTCATCCTCCTCCTCCTCCTCCTCCTCCTCCTCTCCCCCCTCCTACTCGTCCCCTTCTGGGTCGTGAGCACCCCCCGTGCCTCTGGTCGGGCTGGCGCGAAGC